TAATATTGATTTAAGTTGTGATATTATAGAATGAGAAAGTCTAGTTTGTGGAGTATTCTTCTAAGGAAGCATAGCCTGTTAGATTAGCTTTCATTCCCCTTTTTCTTTCATAAAAATGTAACAAAAAGTAGCAAAGTAATGGGCAATTATTTTAACTAACCTTTGAATTAATATTAATCATACGTACTGTTATACAATGTTCAGATTTAAACAAAATTGTTTAGTAATTTTCATAAAAAAATATTAAAGCCTGTTATATTAGCTTTCATTTACATTTTCCTTCTTAAAAATCAGTTAAAAATTGTAAAAGTTATAGACAATTTTCTCAGCCAACCTTTGAATTAATATCAATCATACGTACTGATAGCCAATTTTTAATTTTTAATTTTACATAAAATTGGAAGATTATAAGGAAATTTTTTAAAAACCAAGAAGTATATTGAACACATATTGAAGTAGCTGCAAGAATTCTATTTCGTATGAAAGTATGTCTTTCGCAAATTTAATGTTGGTTTAAGTTGTCATATTATATAATAAAAAGTCTTGTTTGTGGAGTATGCTTCTAAGTAATCATAGCTTGTTAGCTTAGCTTTAATTCCCCTTTTCTTTCATAAAAATCTACGAAAAATTACGCAAGTTATGGACAATTTTCTTAACTAACCTTTGAATTAATATCAATCATACGCACTGTAATACAATGTTATGATTTAAACTTGCTGTGGCGAAAAAAAGCGAAAAAAAACTTTACAAAAAGTAATGAGTTTTTAAATTTTAGAAATATTTATATGATTTTCAACTAAATTGTAAAATACTAGTCACTCTATAGAGGAAAGTTGGAAGGAAAGTAAATTTTTGAAAAATTTATTTACTGTCTTTAAAAATACTTCTTTACTATCAAGATAACTGTGGCAGTGTCCTCAACTAGTCTTTTATACATATATAGTTTTGATAGTGATGTCTGTAGTGACGTTACTTCCTTGCTTTTTTGTAGTTCCTTCTTATTTTCTCTCGGTTGATGTTACTCCTGCCAGCAATTTGAAATTGGGGAAAGTATCATTGCCAAACTAACTAAATTTGTGATGGTAAAAGACCAATAAATACTTATGTATATAAAGTAACTAGAAAATATTTTAGATAACAGCAGACGACATACACCAAACACTTTAATTGCACTCTTACAACAAGCTAACGTTAAACAGAACAGTCTTCTAAACGATTTAATAGTTTCATAAGACAAAGTTTTTTTTTTTAATAAAATTCTAGTTATTTTTAATATAATTTAATTAGATTTAACTAATTATTGAACACAATTTATAGGCTCCCTCACACTTAAATAAATAAGAAACTAAATTTTTAAAATTTTGCCCACAGTACGTATGATTAATATTAATTAAGAGGTTATGTGGGTAAAATCTTCATAACTTTTTAAATTTTTAACAGAATTCTATTATTAATAGTGGAAAAGAAAGCTAAGATACTAGGCTAATAACAGCCCAAATACTATGTTAATTCAGTTCGTTATTAATATAGGACAACTAGAGTTTTTAGCAAATGGTAAAAATTACTAATAGGTAATAGCATGTTAATAGCAATTCTTAGCTCTACAGAATCACTCAAATCTAGCTTTAAAAGGGAGAGAATTTCTTTTCTAATACAATGTTCAATTTAGAACCTATATGTCATCTTTACCATTTAATGGTTCCATATGTTAGTTTCAATTGCATTTGGTGTAGTTAAGCGTTAGAAGATGGAAATGTAGGTTTTAATATCAAACAGTAACTGCTGTATGATTTAAATGCATTTAAATTTTCATTGATTAAGAGTAAAGTGAATATGGAAACAGTATTAGTAAAAGAAGGAACTGAATGACGAGGAACAACTGCCAGCAGTAAGGAAGATAATTAATGGTACATAAATACTAGAGTGTCCTTGGAAGCTGTCTTTTTAACAATCTCATGTAGTAATAACAATCAATCGAAGCGTATTAATGTTCACAATATGAGAACAATAAAAACTATTTGGTTTTTTGAAAGGTTTTACCAGAGATTGAAAATCCAGAACTGAGTGTAATTTGTGAAAAAAATATATCTTAAATTTTTTTGAAATGGGTTTCAAAAATTAACTAATTTTAAGTTGATTTAGGGAAAATAATTTAAAAAAATTTATTTTTTTTAATGAATTTGTTGCAGTAATACTTTAGCATTAATTATGTTTCCCTTAATAAACTCAATACTAAAAACCACTTTTGAAAAGTTTGAAAATAATTGTTTTTCAACATATTGTACATCAAGATTTTCAATTGCTCATAGGGAACTTAGGTCGTTTTCCAAAAAATATGTTTTATTTAGTACATTATTAAGCATGTTGGCGAGTTATTCCTACCAAAAAAGTGATCCACAGGACACCTTTCATTCTACATATGTTTGTATAACAAAATCTATGTTTGGGTTAATATATTAATTATACTAGAGCCCTGCATGAGTGACTTAAATAATAAATTAAAACATTTGATTTTTTTCAAACACTGTGTTTGACTCACTCATTGTTTTATGAATGAAATGAATAGTATATTTGAAAATAAGGAATGTTAGTCAATACTCAATTCAAACGAAACAAGTAATGAGAGTGTTTGTGTGATTCAATTCAAGTAGTATACAGTGAGTGAATCGAGTGAAAGCAAAACAATTTTGAAGTTCGACAAATTAACAGATTTTTTGAATATTACTTCGAATTTTCGAACTTAATTTCGAATAGTCGAAGATAATATAGTAGCGTCATCAACCGTACTTAACACTGCCAAATTTCAGCCAATTTGGTCGTTTTTTGGTAGTTTTTTGGACTCAAAGAATAATTTAAAAGCATAAAAAATTTTTCGAACATAACTTCGAATTTTCGAACTTAATTTCGAATATTCGAACATAATATTATATTGTCATCAATTGTACTCAAGACTACCAAATTTCAGCGAATTCGGGCCACAGTAACTAGTTTTAACAGCATTCAAAATTTTCACCATTTATTCAAGAAAAAGTTTGAATCGATTCATTCGATTCAAACAATCTATTTTGTATTGTTTTAACATAAACAAATTGTTTACTCGCTCGATTTGAATGTAGTTGCACATTCACTTGATAGTACTCACAACGTTTGAGTATAACAAAACTTTGTAAATACTATTCTAAACAAACAATGAGTTGAATGCAAAGCAATGAGTCACTCATTGTGTGTAGCAAATAGAGTTACTCATGCAGGGCTCTAAATTATACATATCCCAGCAGTTCGGTCGGACAGTCCCGAACTCCCTATTTATGCTACAACATAGGGTTACACCTAGCTACCAACGGTCCAGGTGACTAGCTATTTTAATATGTGCTTGTCCTACAAGGAAGTCAATCGTCAGCCCGTAGGTAACGAAGAGACAGACAACAGCTATTTAAGTGTCTCCTCTCTCGCTTACAAAAGGGTCACTAAAGTAACAATAATCTTCTCCCTTCGTTTACAAAGAGTACATCCGTGACGAAAGATGAATTAGAACCAACCAGATGGTTAGATGTTAGTGGAAATCACTGTCTTTTGGGGATGCATTGACTCTATGTCGAACTGCAGGGATATTAGTCTGTGTAAAAGTGTGTGAGCAAGTAGATACATACATACATGCAAACATGTGTAGGTATATTAAACTTCAAGTTGCTATCAAAAGCGCCTCTCAAGGACCTTTCATATGTTAGCACTGTTGCATATCATTTCTTTGCTTGAAATATCAAAAATTTGAAAAATATAACAATATGACCCCTTTAAGCTTTAGAACCGGTTCACCAAATATTGATAGTAGGGCAAAAATTTTGAGAAAGGTTATCTTAGAATGAACCTAACTATCATTTTCGATAAGCATAATCAGTGACTTATTTGTTTCTCCATACAAAAAAGGGGCCATCTTAATGTGTATGTAGGTTTGTTTATTGATATTTTATTAGTTTATTAAACAGCTTTAAGCAATTGTAATATAATCTAGTTACTTATAACCTTGTTTACACACACAGAGACAAATAAACACAACTGCATACGTATTAATATAAACACAATTGCACTTACACTTTTGTACTAAATATGTATTTAAAATCTACTTTAAGGCTTTAGGAATCAATGTACTATCACACAAAAACACATATACATACATAATAGACCTGTTCTTAAATAATAACTTGGTTGTAAAAAACACTAATATAAATGATCTAGAATTTCTCAAAATAAACTAGGAGACATTGGAAAACATAAAATCCTAGGCATAAAACGGCTATAAGTTTTAAATTGGGTTATATGGCTTTTTGTGTATAAGAAATTATATCTATCTAAAGCTAAACTGGCTTTTAGGAGCAGGCCTATTATGCATTTAATAACAAATATTTGTGTTCAACTATAAATGTGTTATAACAAACATATTTTCTATGGTTAACAATTAGGATTTGCATTACTAACAGTGTCAGAGTGTTATACCTACCAACATGTACATATAGGGGACATTTACTTTAAGACTGCTCTAAATCAAGAACTTAGAAAAACCTACTGTTGAACCATAAAAGAAACGATAAGTTGTTGTTGTTTCACAAATTATTAAATTAAAATAAACCACTGAGATTTGCTTGATGTTTATTGTTTAGCTATTTTTTCGACAATGACAAAAATCTTAAAAACTAAAACTGGTTTAAGCTAACAATATTAAAGGGAATGCAAAAATGCAATCCCGTTAGATTTCAATGTATGTATTTACTTAAACTTATAATAGGCAAAAGAAACAAGTGTATTTATGTATATACATACATGTGTACATATGTAATGTAAAAAGGGCAACAAGATATTTAAATGAATGCTTTGTTAATAATGTTATTCATGACTTTAAGTTAATGAATTCAACAAAAATAAAATAAAGTAAATTAGTAATAAAGAAAATTGTATACTAAGTATATTTTGACCAAACATACTGCCCCCATTGAAAGGCACTTTCAATCAGCTTCGGTAGGTATAGGTGCTATTTTGTGTATGGGACGTCTTAGAATTCCCTTTGTAGTTTTAAGGTCTACTGCTCTGACCTTTCCATCTCCACCAGGAATAACTTTGTTCACTCGAGCTAGGAGCCAATGTTGAGGCGGAGTGTTATCTTCATGAATAATTACAAGTGTACCTTCTTTTATGTTATCGCAACTCTTGAACCATTTGCATCTTTGTTGTAAATTTAGTACGTAGTCACGGACCCAATGAAGCCAAAACTGTTGCTTAAGATATGTAACAAGTTGGTAGCGTTTTAGATAGGTAACCTTTTTGTAATTATCCAAATTTTGATCTGGTAGGGCCATCAAGGAGCAACCAATTAGCATATGGGCAGGCGTTAGGGCTTCACCATCATTTGGATCATCTGATCTGGGTGCCAGTGGTCGAGAATTTAAAATAGCTTCAACTTCGATGAGGATTGTTTGGAACTCTTCATATGTTAGGTTGGCTTGAGACATGTTTTTGACGAGAAGTGTTTTTGTGGACTTAACAGCAGATTCCCACAGGCCACCGAAGTGGGGGGAACGAGGAGGGATAAACAAAAATCTGAAGCCAGTAACTGCGCTGTAGTGCATGAGCTGCTTGACATTAGCATCATTAAAGAAGTGTTGTTTGAACTCTTGTAGTCTGGTGTTGGCGCCAACAAAATTTGTTGCATTATCGCAATAAAGCTTTTGAGGGATGCCACGACGACCTATAAATCTTTTAAGACATAAAAGAAAGGTATTAGTTGATAGATCTGATACTAATTCAATATGAATGGCTTTAGATGTAAAGCAAACAAAAATTGCAACATATGTTTTATAGGGCTGTTTTCCTCTAATACGATAGGAAGTATAGAAAGGTCCACAAAAGTCAACGCCAGAGACAAGAAAGGGACGTTGAGCCTTCAAGCGATCCGCAGGAAGATTACCCATAAGCTGTTGTAGTAAACGAGGATGATACTTAGAACAATGGACGCAGTTTCGAACAACTTTTCTTACAAGCTCCCTTGCGTTGATTATCCAAACTTGTTGGCGAAGAATCCCGAGAAGAGCCTTTGGACCAGCATGTAGATGTTTGCGATGAAGATACTCGACGAAGATTTTGGTGAAACGATGATCCTTTGGTAAAAGGGCAGGAAATTTTGTGTCGTATGATAACGGTGCATTTGCTAGCCGACCACCCACGCGAACGATGATTAAAGTTGAATTGCAGCATTGAACCTTATCTAAAAATGGAGCAAGCTTTTGAAAGCTGGGTTGTAAATTTTTTCCTTTGTTGAGTAGCTCAATTTGTTCCTTAAATGTTGTTTGTTGTATGTTATAGACGATTCTCCAAAACGATGATTGTTGTTCCTCAGCGGTTACAAAGAAATGATGCTGTGTTTTGTCGAAGACACGATGAATATAAGCGACGATACGAAGAATGCGAAGATACGAAGAATGACGAGAAATTATTTGATCGATGATTGATTCAGTTACAATAGTAGTTTTAAATAGAGTTTTCTTCATTTCTTGTTGGGGAAGTTCTACAACTTCATTATTACCTTTGGGCCAATTTATATCTGGTTCTAAAAGAAATTGAGGGCCAGTAAACCATATAGTGTTATTTAAATCATAGGCAAGACAGCCTCGCGACACCACATCTGCAGGGTTTTGTTTCGAAGGAACATGCCTCCATTGAATGTTGTGAGTTAAATTTTGTATTTCCGATACTCTATTAGCGACAAAGCAAACATATGACGAAGAGTGATTAATAAGCCAGTTTAGGACTATTTTCGAGTCGGACCAGAAGAAAATTCGATAAGTGAAAGCATCAAACTTATGTTTAATTTTGTGCCAAGTTCGGCTAAGCAATAAAGCGGCGCAAAGTTCTAATCTCGGCAAGGACTGCTGGACCACTGGAGCAACTTTTGATTTTGCTATGAGCAATATTGATTTTGATTCAGTTTTATGAGCCACATAGATGCAGCATCCATATGCCAATTGAGAGGCATCCGCAAATCCGTGGATGTCAAATTGAGTTTTTGGAGATGAACCTACAAATCTAGGGATTTCAATTTTGTTAATGTGTTGGAAATCTTGTTCAATTATCCGCCAGCGATTTGACAAGCGTTCGTTAAGTGGTTCATCCCATTCTAATTTTTGTTTCCACAATTCTTGGATCAAAATCTTGCATGAAATGATAATAGGGCTGAGTAGACCAAGAACATCAAATATTTTTGCTACAGCTGACAAAACCGATCTTTTTGTTGGAACTTCTATTACTGCTAAATCAAAACGAAAGCAAAATGCGTCATCCTTGGGCTTCCATGACATCCCAAGTGCTTTAGCGATGTGTTCGTCGTTTGTTTTTAATTGTAGTTCACCGTCGCACGGAGCAATGTTTGAGCAATTTGAATTCCATTTTGATAGTTGTAGTCCGGCTTTCTGCAAAACTTCGACAACTTCCCATTTTTTGGCTAAAAGTTCAGGAAAACTATCTGCCCCCGTGAGCAAGTCATCAACGTAAACATCTTGTTTGAGAGTTTTAGAACCAACAGGAAATTCATTTTTGTAAAAATCAGCGATGAAGACTAAACTTCTTACAGCGAGGAATGGTGCTGCCGAAGTGCCATAAGTTACTGTGTTTAACTTGTATAAAGTGATTGGGTCATTTACGTTTCTTCTCCATAAAATTAACTGAAAATTGCGGTCTCTTTCGTCCACCAAAAACTGTCGATACATTTTACAGATGTCAGCTGATAGAGCTAGTTTATTTAAACGAAACGACAAAATTGTTATTATGAGTTCCTGTTGAATTGTTGGGCCAACCATTAGAGCTTCGTTTAATGAAATGTTAGACGATGTGCGACAAGAAGCATCAAAGACCACCCTGAGTTTTGTTGTGGTACTTTGAGGACGCAAAACAGGATGGTGAGGAATTACATAATGCGAGGAATCTAAACAATCGAATGTTACGGGAGACATGTGACCAAGTTTAATGTATTCGTCCATGAAATCAAAATACATTTGTCGTAAATTATCATCTTTATAAAGTCGTTTTTCCAAATATAAAAATCGTCTGCGTGCTACTTCAATTGAGCTACCAAGTTGAGTTATAGAATTTTTAAATGGTAAACGTACCTGAACTTTTCCGTTAGAATTGAAAATTGTATTTTTTGTAAAATGGTCCTCACATTTTTGTTCTTCTTCTGTTAAAATGGTTGAACTTGAATTAAATTCTTCTATTTCCCAAAAGGTTTGCAATAAAGAGTCTAGATCATCGGTTTTTGTTATGACATTGCACGATAGGGCACGATGAAAACGTTGAGTATCCACGCTACCACCAATGATCCACCCGAGGGATGTGTTTATGAGGGAAGGAAGTCCATTTCCGAGAGAAATTTTGCCCTCAAGAAGTAAATCAAAGAAAATTTCAGAACCAATTAAAATATCTATATGTTGTGGAATGTAAAATTGTGGATCTGCTAAATCTAGTCCATTTGGAATGTTCCAGTTTTCTGTACTGATTTGTTCAGATGGGTGTTGTGTTGAAATAGATTTTGTGACCAAAAAACACGTAGTCCACTCAAAGTTAGAAACACGAGATTTAATTGTAGCGGTTACCATGTATTTCAGTTGAGTTCGTATATCAGAGACACCAGAAATTTCGTGAGTCGATTTGCTTTGTTTTAGACGAAGACGATTTGCAGCTTCTTGCGTTATAAGATTTACCTCCGAACAAGAATCCAATAAGGCCCGAAGAGGTTGTAGACAACCGAACGAATCTTTAACAAAAATAATTGCTGTTGGAAGCAGATTTATACGACGACTACGAATGACAAATGAAGTTTTTGTTAAATGAGTTGAGGATGTATTAGGTGGTGTTGGTAATAATGATTGGTGCGATGACGAAGACGATGGCTGGAAAGACGATGAATGCTGTTCTTGGATCGATGAATTAAAGGAAGCATTATGTTGAAACGATGGCAAATGACCTGAGTCCGATGAACGAGAAGAATTATTTGAATCGTTTTTCTTTTGGAAGTTTGGATTATGTAAAGTGGTATGGTGTGATACCCTACAAGTGCGACAACGAGATTTCGATAGACATTGGGATACTGAATGGCCTTTTCTAAGGCAGTTTATACACAACTTGGAACTTTTAACGAAATCGAAACGACGAGATATGGGCAACGACAAATAAGTTGAACAACTTCCAGTTAAGTGTTCTTTGCTTTTACAATATTCGCAAATGATAGATGAGACCATAAATGATAATCCTGGCCGCTTGGGATTTGCCTTTGATTTATTATCATGAGGTTGAAAAGAGTCCATTTCTGCAGTACGGCTTTCTAGAAACTGACAACGACGACTTAAAATTGAATAACACTGATCCCATGATGGCAGAGAATTAAAGTCTTGTTTTTCGTCATAAATCTTCTTTGATTCTCCATCAATTTTCGACAAAACAATATGAATAATTATAGCGTTCATAACATCGACTTCTGAACCGAGTGAGAGCAACGAACTACGAAGGGCTGAAACGTTATCAAGAATTGAACGTAACATTGAGGCGTTTGGTTTATGCATGGGAGCAATAGAAAATAATGAATTGATATTGTCAATAAACATTAATGATTTGTTGTCATATCGCTCAATCAAACGATCTAAAGCCTTTTGGTAATTTGACTCCACAACTTGAAAAGGTTCTATTACAGCTAGTGCTTGACCAGATAAACAATTAAGTAAATAATTGAATTTATCAATAACAGGAATATTGGATTCATTATGCACTAAAGTTTTAAATGTGCTTATAAATCGCGAGAACTCCGAATATTTTCCGTCAAATTTAGGTAATTTTAGTTGAGGCAAACGATTTTGATGAGACACAAAAGATTGAGAGGAATTTAAAAAGCTTTGTTCAATATCACCAGAACTACGTTTTTGATTCATAAAACTTACCAATGGTGCCTTGGCAGAAATAAACAGCTCTTCTAAATCTGATCGAGCCATATCAGAATCATCCAACTTCTCTATTTGGGTTTGAATGTGGCTTATTTGTTTAAAATAAGATTCTAAAATCTGTAGTCGACATTCCAAAATTGTATAATCGGATGAAGCACCATCTCTGTCTGTTTTCCCCTTCAGTTGAGATATATTTCTTTTCATTGTTGTACGTTGTAATTTTAATGAAGCAAGCGTGTTTCCGCCCATATCGGTTTTCTCGGTACTCATTTTGCAGTAAATGTTGTTAAGATTGTATTAAATTTTGTTGAAGTTGATCAAAAATGAATAACTTTGTTGTAAAACGGCAATTTATAGAAAGAGTACCAAAAGTTGAAATAAGTACCACTCGTTATTTAAAGGGCCAACACTGATTATTAGTGCCAACACTAATTGTTGAATTCAAATAAACAAGATATGTAAGCTTGTATGTACGCGTATGTGTACAAAAAAAAGAGAAAATATATTATGAGCGTAGACAGCGTAAGAGAATTTGATTTGTTTCACTTACTTGTGTATAAACGTAGAAATTATGTTTGATGCTACAAAACTGCAGATGATGGTGGCTAGCAAATACAAGAGCGACGACGACGATAACGATGATTACGATAAATGATGAATAAGAGACTGCTGCTGGCTGATAATTGCCAAAGGGATGATGTTTATGATTGCGTAGACAACTATTAAGTGCAAGTGCACTAACTACGATGATTATGTTGATTATGATCACGATGACAATGATTACGATGACGATGATAGCGATGACGATGATAGATATGACGATGATGTTAAAGTTTTATTTGGCACAATAAATGTATTTAAAGGTTTTATAATTCCTTTATATGTATTTGTCGCACAAATGTTTTTAGGCACATTTGTTTTTTTTTTTTTTTTTTTTTAACAAATTTAATTTTTTATTGACTTTATTGTCTTTTAATTAATTTAAGTCCTGTCACGGTCGCCAATTTTTATGTTGAACCATAAAAGAAACGATAAGTTGTTGTTGTTTCACAAATTATTAAATTAAAATAAACCACTGAGATTTGCTTGATGTTTATTGTTTAGCTATTTTTTCGACAATGACAAAAATCTTAAAAACTAAAACTGGTTTAAGCTAACAATATTAAAGGGAATGCAAAAATGCAATCCCGTTAGATTTCAATGTATGTATTTACTTAAACTTATAATAGGCAAAAGAAACAAGTGTATTTATGTATATACATACATGTGTACATATGTAATGTAAAAAGGGCAACAAGATATTTAAATGAATGCTTTGTTAATAATGTTATTCATGACTTTAAGTTAATGAATTCAACAAAAATAAAATAAAGTAAATTAGTAATAAAGAAAATTGTATACTAAGTATATTTTGACCAAACACCTACTTTAAATGTTTTAAATCATTTAACTATTGCTTTTTTAAAATTTTTAAGCTAAGTAACGCATTGTACTGTTTTAAATTATTTATTCTTTGTTTATTAGCAAAATTTTACAAAATATTAAAGAAATGTCAGAGGGTGCGTATGAGTAATATTAATTCATGTATGAGTTAATAAATTTGCTCTTAACTTTTGATATTTTTATATGTATTCAAAACTGAAAGAGATCTTTTTGTGTTTATTAGCAAATTATGCTAAAATATGTAAATTTCATATGGTGCGTATAAGTAATATTAATTCAGAGGTTAGTTCATAAAATTGCTCATAACTTTTTAATGTTTTTATATTTTTTCAAAATTAAAACAATTTTCAAAAGCTAACACTACAGACTATTTGTTGATATAATTTTCATTTTCCTGTAATTCCCTAACACACTTCACATTTGGCAACTTTTGTGCAATCAATACATTTGCGTCTTATCAGTTGCATATACAGCAAAATTTGCTAATAATACCTTAGATGCTCTAATGTCTATTGATTTTACTGTGTAAACAAATGCAACTTATGTGTAAATTATGCTTCTAAATGCACACAATATATAGACTTTAAACTATTTTCTAAAAAGAAATTATATTCAAATAAAAATATGGTTTTATCACAAAAAAATCTTTAAAAAAATCATATACTAAAATTGTTTCTTTTCTAAAGTATTCTTTATAAACTGTAGCTCTAACCATAACCTTAACTAAGTATATTTATGTGGTTTCCATAATTGTTTTTATATCTCTTTTATCACTTGTTTATAATGTTATCTATTCATTGAAGCTTCTAGATTCTGTTGCTAGAAAAGCTGCTGCTGCCACTCCTGCTATACTTGCCATTGTTTAGAGAAAATGCGTATGAACAAAACAAATCATACAAATAAACAAAATGGGAGCAAGCATATGAAGAGTGAAGGTGGCTGGGAGGTACGTAACACATATAATAGTTTATAGGAGTTAGAGAATGATAAACTTTTCTATAAGAGAAATAATATAAGGGTAATGAAGTAGAGCAACTAAAAATAGTTATTTTTAATAGAGTGAAGTGCATGAAGAAATGTAAGTGGTTGTTGTTATAGAAGCTTGTTATGTTGCTTTATTAAGTTAAAACATAAAGTGTAAAACTGACAACAACTGCACACATCACAACCATACTTAATATTTCTATATATGGTAGAAAAAGATAGTGACAGATTGATACAACTTATCCAAAATATTGGTTCAAACATATACTAATGATGGTTATTAATATCTGCACTCAAGCCTAAACAATTGGTTTACTTATCTCATATTCAAAAACATATGTTAGTTAGTTGACTCCTAATTGTCATCATAGCTATGTTTTCTTTATTTCTGCAAACATTCTCACATAAAACATATTTTCAACATTTATTCTTTAGCAAATGAAAAACAAAACTAACAACCACTACAATTACTGTTGCTGTTGCTACAACTATAACTAAACAACATTTGCAACAAAACATCAATAGAATGGTGAATGAATAAGTGAGTGAGTGAATGAATGAATGCAGCACTTGAGTGAATAAATATATGAAGAGTTTATATTTTATTAAATACATTCTTTTGTTTGTTTTGCATAAGAGTTTGCAGTAGGATGGAAAATACTGAATTAGTATTAAACTTAAAATAAAGGCTTACAAATAGGGATGCCAAACGGGAATTCCCGATTCCCGAAAATCCCGGGATTTTCGGGATTTGAAAGTACCGAAAACCGGGATTTTAAAAAATGAAATCCCGGGAAATTTCGGGATTTTAAAATCCCGAATTTTTAAGTATTTTTCCGCTATTTTATACATTATAAAGTACTAAATAAGAGAATTTTAAAAGTTTTTGGACTTAAGATGACTCTACTAACTTACAAGCTGAAATATAAAAAAAAAAAGTAAGAGTGCTATATTCGGCTATGCCGAATATGCTTTTCTATAAACATCAGGGTGATATTACTCATCAAATTTACTGATAGGATCTTATATGAGAGGTAGGGTGAATCATTGACCGTTTTTATAAAATTTTTCATAATTTTTTTAAACCAATTTTGGTTCATACACTTTCCGGTAGGAAGATTTACGTTTCTTTAAAAGTTTCTTAGCTTTTGGCGAGTAAGAAATTTACTTATCTCAAATTTCATCTCTACACTCGTACTTGTAAGCCAGTAATGAGCGTTAAAGTATTTATCTGGATGGGACCTTATGTAGGGGTAGGGTCAATTATGGTCCGAAACACATAAAACTTGGTAGAGAGATTTTGACTCGCATGAAACATATGTGTATCGAATTTCATCGCTATACTTTTTTAAGCCAGTAATGAGCGTTAAAGTCATTTTTTTAACGGGACCTTATATGGGGGTAGGGTCAATTATGAACCGACCCACATAAAATTTGGTAGAGAGGTTTTGGCTCGTCAGGGATTTACTAATATCAAATTTCATTGCTATACTAAATAGGCATAGATACTATCGGATATATAAAAATAACAAGTACGAAATTATAGGCGGGCGAGGCCGACCATATAACCACATACACCAGTTATGAGAGTAAAATGTAATTTAGTTTTCATAATAAATGTATACCTCGCCTCCGATATATTCTAGCACTTTATTGTTAAAAAACTATTTTTCTGAAATATGCTTGGGGGAAGGACGCCATCATATGAGTCGATCCTCATAAAATTTGGAGGGCGAATTTACGATTACATAAAATGTTTTATGCTGATTTTCAATGTGACAGTTCTCTTTTTAAGCGAATTGTGGACACTAATTCTTTTTTAAAGCTGTGTTTTATATGGGGGCTCGGATCAAAAGCCCGATCATTTCAAATTTCATCAGCGTATTTTAGGACAGTATAAAACAAAAGCACTACTCCGGAGAAACCCAATATACCATCCCTACTAAGGGTATAAAAAGGGCAATAAATAGGCATTGATACTATCGGATATCTATAATGGAAGTCAACCTGTCAATAAGATGGCGAGAAGATAATTCCCTTGGTTAGTGAACACGGAATATAAGGTGGAGGAGATATAGGTGCAGTACAGGTGCTCTATGTAGCCTCGTATGGATCCCCATTACACATACTATTTAAATATTATTTGGAAACCATTGTAAATTTGGATATCATGGGTATTATTTTAGGTCTTTATTCTACTATTCAGTGCCTGGGATGGAAAGATTTTTATTCTAAGTATGTACTTTGAATTAATTTGTTTTTCTTTTCACAAAATGCTTATTGGAAAGTAAACACCTACTAAGAGTATTCATATTGCAATTTGAAATAAAACATTTTATTTTTGTCGGTAAATTATTAAGATTTTTTGAATTTTGTTTATATTTTTCGGGATTTAGAAATCCCGAAAATCCCGGGATCCCGATATCGGGATTCCGGGATTTATTTAAAAATCCCGAATCCCGGGATTTCTAAAAACCAGTCCCGATTGGCATCCCTACTTACAAATAAACACTTTATTAGAAGATCAGTTCAAAAACATGTTAATGTCAGGTAAATGACACGATTAGTCAAAATTTTTCCTAAAGGGGGCAAAATTAGTTAGTTAGGAGAGTGTTTAGAATGATTTAAAGCAAAATGCCCTGATAAATACATATGTAAGTATACGACGGCAAGAGAGTTTAGATACATAATTGCTATTTAAACTAAGTTTTCATTAAAAGTTCTCTATAAGTGTGTGGTCGTAAGTTCGATTCTCACCAGAAGCACTGATAGAGGAGCACACAATCGCTCCGAAGGAGGTGTATGTGTATTTCTAACTAACTAACTAACTAACTAACTAACTA